ATATATATATATATATATATATATAAGCGTTAATAATCAAGTGGGAAATTGTGCTTAGGTTGCAATGTTTTGGCTAAATCTAGGAATTGGGCTGAACAAGTGTAAGATTGAGAGGAACCCACAAAGTGTTTTTTTGGGAAAGCATTTTGGTTTATTCTTACAAGAAGAGAAAGTCATTTGCTTGTATCTTAAGGCCATACCGCATAGAATTACACCAAAAGCTTCAAACTTTCTGCTGTAAGAGCGATATAAGTTAGTACTACGTTTTTTAGGAGTGTAAGACTATGCTTAACTGGTCAAAACCCGTCATCGGTTCATATTACTTACGAACCGAATATATCCCACTTGAAGGTGGGGTTTGGGGAGGGTAAAATGTACACAAACGTGACCTCTACCCCGAACCCAAAGATTAAAGCGATTGTTTTCATATAGATCCCAACTTGTGAAATATTACTTACTCTTGGTGATGGCCAAAAGTTTTGAACTTTGTCAAAACTGTAGGTTTGAGTGGTTTCATATCATGTGCCCTTACTTATGAACCTAAGGAAGTTACTTGGCTCATTTGCTGTTGTTCATTCATTACAAATTAAACCTTTTTTTATTTTATTTAAAGGGGACTTTTTTTGCAAGAGTTCTTTATTAAAACTAAGCTCGCATAGAATTCCAAAAGTGTAGGACAAGCATGTTATTCCAGGAAAGATCCTATTTATAAGGTGATATGTGTAATGTGTTCTATGTGGATTATGCTTCCTCCAACTAATTCTATATATTCTTTTGTTAGTTCCGGTTTCAGAATCAAATAGATATATTTTTGTACGGATACGTGGAGGCTTTCATGAGATCAGGAGTTCAGTAAGTACGTTTTTCAAAAGCATCAACTTCGACACATTTATGTTATTTGCTTTTAGAAATTATCCTTTTTGTAGATTTGTGATGCTGTTGTTATTGCCCGGCTTCTCAATGCTACACTTGTGATTCCGGAAATCCAATCAACCACAAGCAGCAAGGGAATCAGGTCGATTCTCTGGTTTAATCGATTAAATAGGTTGAAGATGTATATTATATCCCATAAATACTGAACGCTTGCTTTATATGTTATTTGTAGCGCCCAATTTAAGAGTTTTGCTTATCTTTACAACGAGGATCAGTTCATGGCAGCCTTAGCGAATGATATCACAATAGTAAAAACCCTTCCGAAAAGCCTAAAAGGAGCAAGAAGAAAGAAAGAAATCCCTTCATTTAAAGTGCCCAACTCGCAATCTCCCTATTATTATTTACATCATGTTCTCCCGGTTCTAAAACGTCATTCTGTGGTTGAGCTTGTTGTTTCCGATGGTGGATGCTTGCAGGTAATCTAGTTTTGACTTTCTTTGCATCATTAACAAATGATAAGTCATGAATTTGTTGCTTTCAGATCAAATTTGTTTACCATCATGTGTTTTTAGATGTTTGATCATCTTAAAAAGATGGTAAACATCACTACAAATTTTACCACGAGCAACCAATATGCATGTTGTAAAGCACATTCTTTCTTCATTTCTCAACTAGTTCATGCGAGATTTGAGTTGATCGCCACTGAAAATTGCATTGGTTGCTGATATTAAAGCAAGATCTTTTGAGATTTCTATATGATAGGATATTATTTGCCAGTAAACTTGATGTTTGCTTTTCTGTGGTTGTGGTGCATATCCCGAAGGCAATACTTCCTCCAGACCTTGAGGAATATCAACGGCTGCGATGTCGTGTTGCATTTCATGCTTTAAGCTTCCGACAAGAGGTCCAGGAACTGGCAACCAAGATTTTACACAGGTCAGTTGTCACTATGAGTTCTTTCCTAAAGAACCGTTAAATGAGCCTTTGTTACCAAAGCGTCATCGGCCTACCCGTACTTGGGTTACTGGTAGAATGTAGAATGTAGAACCCAACTTTCCAGGGTTCAAGCCAGTGTGTGTGAGTTTTGCCGTATATAAATGTTATGGTTGTGGTCTTCAGGTTAAGGGCTCCAGGAAGGCCATTTATAGCATATGACCCAGGGATGACTAGAGATGCTTTAGCATATTATGGTTGTGCCGAGCTCTTCCAGGTACTTAATTGAATTACTCCAAACTGTATGATAAATATTGGCGTTTTTTTCCGAAGAATCTACAGTACTTTCAATGGAAACAATATTATCCAGTGCTTTGATGCATTTTGTGTGTATATGAAGGATGTGCACACTGAACTTATTCAGCATAGACGTTTATGGATGTTAAAACGTGGAATTGTCAAGGGAAATCTTACTGTGGATTCAAACACACAACGTCTGAATGGTTCTTGCCCACTTATGCCCGAGGAGGTAATATTTTAGAGTTATTTACTTTTTGGACTATCGTACTTCATTGCAAACAAGTTATATTTCTCTAGAAAAAAGGCTACGTTTTGTGACAATGGAAGATTTTGGACAATATGTCAAATATTATATCTCCACTGTTTATCCAAGATCGCTAATCTTGCAAATGGCGAATTCTTTCGGGTGGCATTTTCACTATGATGATTGTTTGCAACGAAAAATCAAGTAAATCAAACCAAGCGAACCCAATATATCTCACTCGAAAGTAATCGTGGGACCCTAAAGATGGCAGTCAAGAGAATCCCCAATGGCCTTTAGGAGAGTCGACGACCTATGAGGAGTAAATGTATATCCAAATTTGAAGGTGTATTCTTAACATGTAATTGACATATTTTTTTCTACAGATTGGTATCATCCTTCGTGCATACGGGTATTCTTGGGATACAATAATCTACATATCTGGTGGCGAAGTCTTTGGCGGGCAAAAGAAATTAATCCCGTTTCACGCAATCTTTGAAAACGTAGTCGATAGGACATCCCTTACAACAGCTTGGGAATTGAACAAAATATACGGTCGTGAAGCCAACCTTGTTGACAAATATCAGAAAACCCCACCTTCTGCCGAGAAGGAAATGAAATACGAAGCATGGAAAACATCAGGCCAACGCCCACGCCCGCTGCCGCCGCCTCCGGCTCGCCCGAAATCCTACAACATTGAAGGGTGGTGGGGTTGGGTGGCTGAGAGTGATAACGAGCCTGAGAGCACTGTGATTGAGTTGAGAACTAATGCTCACAAGCTTCTGTGGGAAGCGATCGATTACATGGTGTGTGTTGAAGCCGATGTTTTTGTTCCTGGTTTCGACCGTGATGGTAAAGGAAGGCCGAGTTTTGCTAGCTTGGTGATGGGCCACCGGCTCTATCATTCTGCTACGGCTAAGTCTTTCAGGCTCGACAGGTAAATAATTTTCAGAAAAGTAAACGATGCGATTTTGTGGTAATGTTGACCTACATATGTAGTCGGTCACACGTGAAATGTCTAAAATACCCTTTCGTATAGTGGTTACATTTTTGGTTTTCTTGAAACAGGAAAGAAATTGCAAAGCATATGGAAGAAATCAATGATCATTTATACGAAGCCAATCATACTTGGATCAAATCAGTGAGAAATCACCTGAGTAAAAGTTTGGTTGATGGATTAACAGAAGAATCAAAAGCATCAAAATCATTATCTTTTCTTTCTTTCCCAGTCCCTGAATGTTCTTGCCTGAGATCCGAGTCGACCCGGCCTTCCACTTCCCAACTTCCGGCAGCTCTTAGAGTGGCACGTTCTTGTCCTGCTTGGATGGGTGAAGGCGTAGTCTCGCGTCCTGGAGAGAAAGAAAACGACGATGATCTTGATGACGATGATTCTGGGCCTATTGGTTTGTTTTTCCGACAAACTGGCGGTTCTAGTAATAGAAATACCGTAAGTAGCGGCGGTAGAGGTGGTGGCGAGATGATGAGCAGCAAAGAAGAGACTCAGATGGAAGATCAAGAAGAAATGGAGGGTGGCGATAGATGAGCTTAACCGGACGGCCCCGAGTTAGGAGACTCCTTAATCGTAGTAGCCTAACTTTTAGTTGTTTGTATAGTTGGAATAGATTGCTGATGGTTAAACTGATGTATTTGTTCTAAGTTTTTCCTGAGGCGTCATCAGTTTGATTTTGATGTCAAAGCTTTCGTCTTCCAACTTTAGATTTGAGATAAATTGTTTCAACTTTTAGAGAATTAAAATGTCAATATTCATCGTCAATAGACAACAAAAAACCGAAAAACATTGGTTGGTTTTTCATGAGTCATATATGGATAAAGCTGTATGTGTGGATTAGTCTGTATGTATAGATTGAGAAAGGTTTTTGTTTGGGGTCTCTTTTCATAGATGGAAGCATCATGTTTTTTACTTGGGAGAGGTAGATTTTGAAGAAAAAAACTTGAATTTCTATATAAAAGTCTTGTTTGGAAGCTTACCGAATAAACCAATTTTTTATGTCATTAAACCACTACTAATCTATCATGTATAGCTGACAGAATAAGTTGTAAGTCCTATTAAGTTCATTAAACTGCTAAAAAAACTGGTCCTATGGTAGATGAGGGAACAAATTATGAAAAGTTTTAGAATTTTAGATGCCCGTGAATTGGGTTGGGTTGGACTGTTTGATGTCATTTAACCATCTTTTAATTTATAACCAACTGAGCCCATTACATTTCGGATTGGATTGAGCAATTTGAAGTTTGAACATTGTTTAAAAAGACGATAATATTACAATTTCAAAACAAAAAAAACCAAGTATTAATGGTTGATTCTTAGGGGTCGTTTACTAAACGCTTACCAGTTGAATTACCTTACTAGATGAACATAACAAAGACCAGAAATCTTACCCGGTAAAAAAGAAGACAAGGATTGAGAGTTTTACCTGTAAGTAAGGGTGATGACTCTTACCACATATTAAAATGTACTATACATAATACATATTGGACTTTGGGGTATTGTACTAATCACTTGAGTAGATTAGTCGGAGTCATGCAATACAATACAAATATTTAGGAGACTAATTATGTCAGGTTTTTTAACGGATTGCTTCGGGTTGAGATTGACTTAATCCATAACAGTCACAGACCTACTTTTAGCGGGTTGTCTAATTTATAAACCAATGAAACATCAAGTTCGAACGGGCTGGGTTTTTCACAATATTTTCAGGTTGGATTGGACGGGTTGACAGTTCAGTCGGTTTTTTATGCACCGTTAATTTGACATAGATAATTTAGTAATTTGTCTATCTTCCTAATTTTTCTTTCACCTATATTGATAGGACAAACTTTTTCTTATCCCATTCAGTCCCGTCAGCATATGGTCTAATGTCACATTAAACTTGAGACAAGTTTTTATTCTGTCTATAGAGTTATACCTCGTATCAAACACACCCTAAAAGAACCCAATGGCTGAACAACCATTTGAAGAAGGCAACTTGCACGTATAAATCAAGTTCAAGAAGTATACAACAGCTTTTAAATGAAAATTCTTAAAATTTGTGTCCCCAAGCCCATTCCTTGTCAAAAAACTGATCTCAAAATGTCGAACCCATAAGCGGCATGCAGCCACCATCCCAGAAGGATCTACCGGTGCTTGAATAAGGCTGTCTCCAGCAAACTGACCAGGCCCGATCAACTGTTTACCAAAAATACAGATCTTTGCAAAGTCATAATCCCGGGGTCGACTTCTGACCACTGCTGGAAGATCAAGAAAGGTGGTAGCCACTGGAGCCAAAGAGACCCTTGAGGTTAGAATCAATCGAGAAAACTAGCGGCTCAGTAGATTGATGCATCAAATCGCGGCTCGTAGAAACAAACCTGACTGTTATATGATTGTAGAGCGCAGCCAGCAATCCAAGACCATGCTTTTTTATCGACATCAAACAGCAGACCTTTCCCTTGATTCCAAGATGTAAAACAGATCAAATTATCCTGACCAAAGCACTCAAACCTCTCTGCTGATAACCTCAAAAGAGCTCTAAAGTACCTTGGTGGCATTCTACTTATTTCGATCCATATCACTTTTGCATGATCTAATTCCCAAATTCTCATACTCTGAAGAGTACTATAAAGACCAATTCTTCCAACCAGAAACAAACGTTTCTGGGTACCAGCAACCAAATACCCATCCAATAAAGATCGTGGGAACTTTGCCGGTATGTGTTCCCAATATCCTGCATCCAACTGATACATCATTAAACCAAGAGGTGAGATCGTTTCTAAGTACAACCTTGAGTCACAAAATGCCATCTTTGATGAGCAAAGATTGACAGCAGGCATCGTCTGGTGAAGTGACCAACTGTCGAGCTTTGAATCATAAACCTCAGTTGGCAATGATTTGTCTCCGTAAATATCACTAGCAGCAATAACCTTGAAAGATCGTTTCTTTCTATCAACAACCAGAATCAACTGTCTCTGCTGATTATAATGCATACTTGGTAGAATTCTCCAGCTTTGTGTAAGGGGATTACAGATTAAGGTTCTGAAAGTTAAACCATCAAGACCCGAGAAACAAACAAGTCCACCCGAAGATCCAACCAGCCAAAAGGCCCATTGAGGTAAGAACGTAAAAGGGATTTTGTACCATTGTTTCAACGGTAAGCTAAAAACAGAGCATTGTGGCATTTGTGAATTCTTCCAAAACGTCAGAAGGCAAGGCCCGTGCGATGGAACTTGTGAATGGAATATGAGAAAACTATTATCCTGTAAGATCGAGTTCCACCTCTTGCAAACAGAACGGAGACGGAAGATCATGAATGGCGGAACCCTAGCTAATATTTCATTCAATAAGTCTTCTGGTAGCATAGCCCATATGTTATCTTCCATATGGACATCAGGGTGAGGAGCCTTGGCAAATGTGGCAACCATTTCCTCATCCAGACCCCTTGGTTTCGTCTTAATCACCTTCTGCCTAGATGGGCTAGTGTTCCTCAATCCAAGTCCCCTGCCAATTGGACTCGTATTTCTTGAACTACTTCCCCCAAAATAATTCAGTTGCCTCCCATCATCCTCTTCAGGAGAACAACCAGTCTGCTGCGTCGATTCAGCAGGTAAATTTTCAGACCCAGAATCAGAAGCATCACCAGTCCCTACCACCATCTTTCAACAACCTAAAAACCCAAATCGATAATTAATGCTTCAAATCAACAAACTAACTGGCTAAGAAACCACAATCAAGACCCTAATTTTAGCCATTTTTATACAGAGATCTAACAAGATGGTTTAACTCAATTGCGGATTCATGGAATTTAACATGAAAACCCTAGATTCTCAGATGCAAAGTGGGATCCCTATTTTTCCAAAATAGGTACGCGTATCGAACAGAACAGCAAATAACGAGAAAGCGAACAGCTGAAACATTATGAAGCAAAGGTTACCTTTGATAGTAGACCAATTAACGGTTTCTTGAAGGGTTCATCGGATTACGGAGCTCCTTCACCAAGAGGGTAGCCCTAGGCTCCATTCTCTGGATTTTTCACACAATCGTTTCTGTAGCTTACAAATGTTTTTGTCGCTAGTGGCGCGTATATAATTGTTTCTGATGAGTATATATATTTCTTCCCAAAACATCTGCTTTCTTGTTGGTAATTTTTTTTTTTTGAATTTCACCAAAATAGCCGAACAATACACTGCATATTAACAAAATAGCTATTTTTTTATATTTTACCAAAATAATGAATAGGATCGTCTCCAAGGGAATGTTTGACCATGAAGGCTATCCAACTTATCTTTGACAAATAAAATTATGTTAACCATGACAGTTATTTGGTTTAAGATTTGAACCAGTCTTCGAGACAGTCTCCGAGGCAGTACCTAATTCAGTCTTCGGAACAGTCAAAAACTTTGTGGAAAAGGTAGATATAGTCGGTGGCGGCGGAAGGTGGTTGGTGGCGGAGACGGACGGTGGTGGTTGGCGGCAGACGGTGGTTGATGTCGGCAGACCGTCTGCCGCCGATGGTGGATGATGGTGGATGGTGATCGGTGGTCGTTGATACGCGGTGGTCGTTGATACGCGGTGGTCGATGGTCGAGGGGGATCGGAATGCTGGAAGGGGTAGTGTTTTTATCGGTGGATGTCGGTGGGGATGGTGATAATGGTCCCCTTCGACCGCCTATTTATATAAACATTTACGTAATAAGACAAATAGATTGTCAAATCGCCGTTAAATCGTAGGCCACTAAATGACAAAATAACGGTCAAAGTACGTGGTTCTAAAAATATGATATTTTCAGATATAATATCTGATTTTTTTCCCCCAAATCAAATACAAATAATTTTTTTCGTATCAACAATTATTAAAAAAAATATAAACAATCAGTGGTTGTAAAAATATAATTTTTATAAGAAGATATAAAAACATTCGTTGGTTAATTTATGTGTTTTAAAAAAAAGTACTAAAAATTATAAATTTTGACGTGATTTCATATTGTGTTAAGATTGTCATGGTCGATTGTGTTTACGGGTTACTAGTTGTGAGAGTAGAAATGTTTGATTTTATAGAGTAAAACCACAATATTTGGTCCTAAAACAGTTAAAAAATCAGTCAAAATCGTCCCATATTTATTGAAAATACCCCCTAATTGTCAAATCGATTTATACACTAAAAGAAGAAAATAAGGGTCAACATAGGTGGGCTAGATAAGCTACAAGTCTCGTTTAATATATTATTAAGCTATTACCAAACAGTCTTATATAACTAACCAGATAAGCTATGAGTCTCGTTAAACTCATTAAGCTGTCAACAAATAAACCCTAAACGTCCATAGTGAAAATGTCATATAGATTATAAATACACAATTATTACACTTTTTAAATAATTACCGACAATTTATTCTTGAAAATAAAGAGAAACAAAAATTAGTAGTGAAACCCACTTATTTTCTTTATCAACAAGAATTTCTATAAATATTTACAACATTCATTAATTATTATTTTATCTATACTATCTTATAAAACAATTGACTAAAACTCTTTAAAACTCTTAAATCTGTTCATTCCTAAACGATTTCATCTCATATTTGAATTCGTGTAACTAACTGCAGATAAACACAATCAAATACAGAATAAACATCTCATTTTAAATATAAAAAATCTAAAATATAATTAGTATAATCATTAAATTCTAACGAATACTTAATTATTATATTTACAAAATTTATAATATTAAACCAAAAATAAATTGTTTTATTATTAAACTTAAATTAAATTATATATATAAAAAATTCTATATTATAAATAATTTGACAAAAACCCTTAAAAACCATTTTTTATGCGTAAAATACTGTTTATTAATGCATATTACTTAAAACTCAATATTACAAGTAAATTATGCATATGTACTACTTATTAAAGCTCCATATATGAATCTGTGTAACTAACTGCAGATAAGCACAATCAAATACAGAATAAACATCTCATTTTAAATATAAAAAATCTAAAATATAATTAG